AAAACAAGAAAGTGTTGGTGAATGAGGTCCTCTTTCTTTCATGTGCCACCTATGCTGATTAGCATATCTACTAACAGAGGGCCTATGCCCTGATGGACCTCCAGAGACTTATCACTTAGAGAAAACGTAAAAATGCAGAACCTCCCTAAAATGATACAAGATATCTCAGGAAAGGCCACCTAAAGGGCTCCATCTCATTAGCATTTGCGCAAATAACAGGTTTGAGGTTTTCTCTATAGATTGGGCTAAATTGAAAATAATAAAAGTTGCATTCAAAATTTACAGAGGTCACCAAAAGGTTTGACTGCAGATAGTAAAGAAATAAATTGACATTATAAATGTACAGTGGTTCTGGTGTTGCACAGCTGCCTTTTGTACCTACCTTTAAGAAATGTATGCACACAAATATACATGAGGCTAGAGCTGAGAAATGAGAGGAGAGCAGGTGGTACATCAGTGGCTTATTCTACAAATCTTAGATTTAAAAGATAATACTGCAAATACTGACAAGAAACTTAAAATCAGTCCTAAAGGATACGATTAGCCAGCACAGTGGAAAAGTTTTGGGTATCATGTCATTCTGCTCTCTAGTTCATGTAAGAATTCTAGCAATGGCATTTTGGACCAGGCCTAGGCGATAGAGCGATGAGATCAGATATCGTCGATGATGGACAAGTAATCCGATTGCGATGTGTAAAAGGCAATAATCGCTGTTTTGGCAAATGAGAATTAGAGACGACTGATTTACCAATAAACATAAAAATACGTTGGGAAACTGGGGTTCACGTTTACGAAATTTGTGGGCTCACACACTAGTAGTGAGTTTTAGAGAGAAAGAGAGAAAGACCCCCCCCCTTATTTACTTAATGTGAATGGAATCAAAAATGAAGACTGACCTGCTTTGGAACTTAAATTCGCCTCAAAGTGACTCGCTTCATTCAAAAAAAAACAAGCTAAAATGACTGGATGTTAGCGTAGAGCAGCCTATAGCTCCCAAAGAGAAAACTTATCTTCCACTAAGGCCTGTGTTCTCAGAAAAAGGTCTGCAGCGCGTGATTTACTGAGTATAACGTGTAGTATTTTCTGTACAGATTAAGTGTCCCGGTGGTTAGTTGAGTTATAAAACGCCGCTGTAACGAAATTTTTAACATGGAAAGCTCATAGACGTGGCTTTGGAAATCATGTGCAGTCAGATGTTTGTCCAGCACGGAGCGCTGTTAGCACGCAAGTCGCCGCGAATCTGCAACAGAAGAAGCTCAGGAACACACTGTTTGTAGGAATGACAGGTGAAGTAGTTCTCAGAAGATGTTGAGATACTCAGTATCATATCATTTAATATGAGAGTTTTATTAAAGATTTTCATTAAAATAGTTTATATAAAAAAGCATAAACTAAAATGGAATAGAACTACAGCAGACTGCTTGTATTTGTTTTGAGGTTGGGGGACGTGCGCTATTATCGATAATCGCGGTTTCTTAACTAAAAAATATTGTGCTAATTACTTTTAGATATCGACCAGGTCTATTTTGGACAAGTTGTAAATTTATTACAGTGCATGACTGTTGTGGAGTCGTGAAAAAATTAAAACATCCTGTGAAAACCTTATTCTTTTTTAACATATTTAAACATATTCAAACATTTGATCTTCATTTTAACAACATTGCGAGATGGAGGTAATATAACTAAACAATTAAAACTGAAGAAATGTCTTTGAAAAATATTTTGTAAAATGGAATTAATAGAAATGCAATTGTCTTGTGAGGAGAAAGTTAGGAAACTTCTGCATTTATTACTACTTAAAATGCCAAAAATGAGAAACAGATGCACCACATCATCTGCAAATGATTAGAACATCATTAGAGAGGATTTTGGAGGAGCCTGTCTTATTTAAACCTCGGACATTTAGTTTGCTCATGATTGATGAAGTAAGTGGTATCACCATGGCAAGCTCCAAAGAGCTCCTTGAGGCCTTCAGAAACAAGGGTATAGATGCATACGAGTCTGGGAAGGAATTTAAAAATAGCTCAAAACAATAAGAAATCAGCCATTCCACTGTCTGGAAAATAATTTACAAGTGGAGAACATTTAAAACAATTGCCAACATGGCCGGGTCAGGCCACCCTAGCAAGTTCAGCTCAAGAGCAGACCATAAGATGCATAAAGAAGTCTGCAACAGTCCTGAAATTTCATCACAGGACCTACAGGAAGCTTTTGCCACAGTTGATGTCAAAGTACATGCATCTACCATGAGAAAGGGACTGTACAAGTTTATTTTTCATGGGAGGTGTGCAAGGAGGAAGCCCTGCCGTCAAAAAAATAAATAAATAAATAAAAACATCATGGCAAGACTAAAGACAAGGTGCTTTGGACAGAGGAATCTAAATATGAATTATTTGAGTGCAGTAACAGAAAACATGTTTGGCACAAACCCAAACACAGCATTTGAGCACAAGAAGCTCATACCAACTGTGAAGCATGGAGGTGGAAATGTCATGGTTTGGGGCTGCTTTGCTGCAGCAGGGCCTGGCAAACTCTCCATCATAGATTCCACTATGAATTCTTTATTGTGTCAGATGGTGCTGGAGGAAAATCTGAGACCATCTGTCCTGAAGCTGAAGCGGAGGTAGCCAATGCAACATCCACCAAGGAATGGCTCAAAAGAAAGAAATGGAGAGTTCTGGAATAGCCAGTCAAAGCCTGGATTTTTTAATCCTATTGAGATTCTGTGGGGTGATTTGAAACAGGCTGTGTGTGCAAGAAGCCCCTCAAACATCACACAGCTAAAAGAATTCTACATGGAGGAGTGAGAAAAACTTTCTCCCAGTTGATGTCAGAGACTGGTAGACTGTTATAGGAAGTATCTAACTGAGGTTATTGCAGCCACAGGGGGAAATACCATCTATTAGAATATAGGGTGTTCTAACTTTTTCCTTGGTAGGAATTTGCATTGTTTTTGCAAAGGTGATACAATTACATTACCTTTATCTATAGATATTGTTTAAAACATTAGGGGGTCCTACTTTTTTCAAATGATTGTAAATGCCTGTTTTGTATTTGATGCCAGCAACACATTTCAAAAAAGTTGGGACGGGGTCATGTTTTCCACTGTGTTGCATCACCTCTTCTTTTAATAACACTTTGTAAGCATTTGGGAACTAAGGAGACCAATTGCTGTAGTTTTGAAAGTGAAATCTTTTCCTGTTCTTGCTTGATATTGCATTTCAGCTGCTGAACAGTTCGGGGTCTCCTTTGTTGTATTTTTCATTTTATAATGCGCCAGCTGTGTTCAATGGGTGACAGGCCTGGACTGCAGGCCAGTTTAGCACACGGACTCTTATACTACAGAGCCATGCTGTTATAATACGTGTAGAATGTGGTTTGGCGTTGTCTTGCTGAAATAAGTGAGGCCTTTCCTGAAAAAGACGTTGTCTGGATGGCAGCATATGTTGCTCCAAGGCCTGTATTTATCTTTCAGCGTTAATGGTGCCTTCACAGATGTGCAAGTCACTCAAGCCATGTGCACTAAAGCACCCCCATACTGTCATGGATGCTGGTTTTTGAACTGTCTGATAACAAGTTGGATTGTCTCTCTCCTCTTTAGCCTGGAGGATGCAGGGTCCATGATTTCCAAAAAGAATTTCAAATTTTGATTTGTCAGACCACAGAACATTTTTCCACTTCACCTTAGTCCATCTTAAACGAGCTTAGGCCCAAAGGAAGCAGCGATGTTTTCTAAATCCTGTTTTATATATGGTTTCTTCTTTGCATAAAAGAGTTTTAACTTGCATTTGCAGATGCAGCAACGAACTGTGTTCACAGACATTGGTTTTCGAAAGTGTTCCTGAGCCCATGCAGTGATTTCCACTACAGAATCATGTTTGTTTTTAACACAGTGCCACCTGAGGGCCCAAAGATCCCAGCCATCCAATATTGGTTTTCAGCCTTGTCCAATGCATAGAGATTTCTCCGGATTCTCTGAAACTTTTATGATATTATGTACTGTAGATGATGAAATCCTCAAGGTCTTTTACAGAGTGGTGAACCCCTCCCCATCTTTACTTCTGAAAGACTCAGCCTCTCTGTGATATTCTTTTTATACCAAATCATGTTACTGACCTCTTGGCAATTAACCTTATTAGTTGTGAGATGTTCCACCAGGTGTTTTGTTAAGCATTACACAACTTTACCTGTCTTTTGTTGCCTGTCCCACCTTTCTTGAAACGTGTTGCTGGAATGAAATTCAAAATGGGCAAATATTTCCAAAAAACAGTTCAATTTCTTAGTTTTAACATTTGATATGTTGTCTTTGTCCCAACTTTTTTGGAAATGGGGTTGTACAGGAATTAACAAAATTGGTCTTTGAGCCATAGACTCTATTCCAGTCCTTCCAAAACTTGCTATATATATATTGGGGTAGTTGCTGTACATCCAGGGGTTCCAAAAAAAGGTTAGATCAACTTCAGCAGTATGGTACATAGTGCTTATAGGACTGCAATCATTCATAGCTTTGAATATAATTTTGTTTCCATATATTTATTGAGTTAAGATGTATGGAGATGAGAAGATTTATTATGAAATATCTTCCTTCTCGCAATCAAACAACAAGAAAACCTCTCCCACGTCGTCAGTACGTAGGTATTTGAAAGACGAGCAGCTACGCTATTCTCCAAAGCCGATTCTGTACTGTACCATCCCACTGAAGGATTATGTAAGGCACTGGAACAATTGGAACAATGGCTTCTTGGACTAAAGCTTTTGCTGTTCTTTTATTCTGATGCTCTCTTGAAAAGCACAAGCCACCCACAGCAGTCTAAGATGAATTAGAAGAGTGATAAAGGAATGTGGTTGGTTGTACATTATTCAGCTGCAACCCTAGAGATCCAAAAGCAGTCGTGGATTTCAGTTCTTCCACAAGGATTAAAAAGTATGTGTCTGACAACAGCTAAAGCTTACAATCTAATACAGTATTTATGAAAAAATACTAGCCATTCAGTCAATGATACCACAAAAAACATCAAATCATTTATTCATTTTTACATGTTAATGGTACAGCTACAGAAATTAAGGAGAAACTAAACATAGTAGAACGTCCACAAACCACCCCAATATCAAGAAGAAAAAAACAAGTGTGTAAAATTGAACAAAACGTTTACAATCAGATTGCTAACGTCCACTGAGTAAACACAAGTACGGTATCAAATTGTCAGGGCATGCCGTGACAGTGTACATATCAAAAAATGACTTAACAATAAGTGATTTCAGCAGATCAGGCTAAATTAGACTGTGAAAGTGTAATAAAACCATATAAGTGAATAAAACCATGACTTGTAATTTGCATTGATTTCACTGTGTCGCGAAAGTGGCAAGTTCGGACATCCTTAATCGCACTAACACTACCAAAGCACGCAAATTACACACACAAAAAGGATAAACAGATATATAATTAAAACCTCAAACAAAAAGAACACACTCCCAATAGGTTGGCAAACTGGAACACTTCCAAATTACAGTCAACAAATTTGATAAAACTGGTTGCCCCACAGAGAGCTTAGTCAATGCTCACTATACGTGAATAGTTAACAATATAAAAATGTAAAATAAATAGCCTGTGCTCTCTGGGGTATATGTGCAAGTCAACTCACTCAATAACTAACCAGCTAGTGAAAATAATTTAAAATCTCCACAAGACTGAAAAATGAATTAACTTGCTGACATTTTAAAACTAAACTATGCAGTCAAATAATAAATTAAAAAAATATGTCATTCATCTTCAGCAAGTCAAACTGCCAACTCAGGGGAAATTATGAAGAATTCAGGAGTCAAAAATTTATATTAAAATTTAAGTTGATGAGAATGTGTTACATAATGAAATATGAAACAAATATAAAATGCCATATATAGGGCACCATTAAGTTACCAGTGTTCGCAAAAAGAAACAAGTAATTATATTTTGTGGGCCACTCGGATATTAATAAAATGTCACTCAATTAAATCAGGCTGGTTAGATGTTAACGCTGCAACTGCATGAAGTGACCAACCAGCAGTTGTACATGCCACCAGCTGAACAATATTACACAAACTTAAAAGAGGGTATTTAGTATAATGATGCCTCAAAAGCCTGCAATGTGGAGCGTCGTACAGGTGGAATGTAAAGAGGAGCTGACAGACCTGTGATTCAGGAAAAAAATCTAAAAGCCCACAATTTAAAGTGCCCAGAAAAAAGCAGCCAGAAAAACTGTATGACAAAACACATGGTGCTGAAATGCTCCGTTTTACATGAGTGCATGTTAAAGCGTATCACTTTAGACCAAGCGTTTTTAAAGGAGTTCTGTATGGGACTCAGGCCTTTTCTGGCATACACATGCAAACTACCGCAAGGAAAGATTAACTTTTCACGGTGATCAGCAATTCTAGAAGCACTGCCGCAACGAAACTCATCAATTTGTTCCATGCACTGAAGCAATAGCAGAAACGCTACTTTAAGTCTGTGCATGAATATGGAACAAATCTTTGCATATGACGTAATATTGTACGTTATAGGCCTATGCAGGTAATTTATGACTTGGCAATTAGAATCTGCATATCTCTCAGTCCATGATTTGTTTGAAGCTTGACGGTGGTACCTGAAGCATGAAGGGCAGTATACACATCAAAGGAATAAGGATGCTGGTATTTGATGCTGGATCATGGTGTGTAAGCAGGTGGAGGCTGGAACTGGTTGGCAATATCGTAGTCAGCAGGGAAAGTTTCACTGCTCTCCTCCATTTCTGAGAGGAGCTCTAGGGCCTGCTCCTCTTCCTCAGTGGGGTAATGGCGGAGCAGGCTGGCAGCCGTGGCTAATATGGAAGCTCCTCCAGCTCCAGCCACCAGGTAGAAGCTGATGGCAAAAGTGACATAGATGAGAGAACCATGATACTTCTTGTGTTGCTGCTGGAGGGAGAGGATGAGCTCTGAGGCCCAGTAGCAGAAGCCAATCACAGTGGCACACTGGAGCACTGCAAAATAAAGCACAACGGGGGGACATCTAGATCATACTGTATGTTAACTTTTGTAATACTGTTATCACAGAAGACTTCAATATGCAAATGAGCCCTCTAACCAATCACAACATTTTTTTTTACGTGTGTATTGAGCATCTTGATAAGTCACAGTCCCTGAGAAGTTACTGTTGTTGTTTTGAACAATCAAGGTATCAGGTAGGACCCAACCAATGCATCGGTTAGTCAACAGTACAAGCTGATATTTATGATCCGCATTTCGATTTGTATCAGATAAAACATTGCTGATAATTATCATGAAGTACTATATTTTCATAATATTACAACTCATCTGTACCGTCGGGAACAAGCAAACTTGTTCAGAACAGAATTTGGATCATTAAGCAATAATCAGTGTTCAAAAAGATAGTTGGTATCACAAATTGAATACAGAATTTTCAGCTTTGTTAGATCACATTCTTTAGATATCAAATAAACACAACAGCAGCATTCAGAAATTATGTAATTAATGGGAAATAGTAGATAGAGTCAATTTTTGTCAGTCTTCAAGGAGTGTGACAACTGAGAATTGACAGTCATATCAGTCAGTAAAGCACTGTTTATACACATTTTAAAATATACTATGGGAATTTTTACCCACATATGAAAATGTTCATATCACTGTAACAATGTTTGATTGAGCAAGAAATCAAGGTATTCATGTAATCCAACAAAAGTATTATTGTCAAAATAACACAGGCCAAACTTTAACCATGTCACATTATCAGTTTACCAGTGCACTTTTAATTTATTGCAAGGTGCATCATTATCGCAATGTAGCAATAAAACAGCCATGCTAGTACTCTGTCCACATTATGCAATCCTAATAGCTAGAACACAAGTAACTGAAATAATACATTTAACTTGTGAATTCTTTAATCTATTATTTACCAGCAATCCATTAAAAAAAAACATTAACTGTCATCATCACATACTAAATACCTGTAAGAATGTGAGCAAAGGCATATCGGCGTGTAATCTTGAGAGCAGGGTGTTTGGGCCCAAAGACATCCAGTAGAAAAGCTGTCAGGCTACATAAAATACCCAGGAAACAAAAGGCAGCAATAACCCGCAACAGCAGGATGGTCTGGGAATTAATGCAGTAGTCTGTGGCAAAAAAAGAAACATCACATGTATACATATATTAAGCACTAAGATTTTTCCTTGAGTAAACTTGGCTACGCTTAGTCTAACCAGAAATACAGTGACTAGCTCCTTTGGAAATATCTATTCTGTACTTCCATTCTCTGGTTGCTTTATGAGGTCCAATTACATTAGCGGTCCACTATATACGTGTACAGTTACAGACGCTAGCCCATCTGTTGTCATGAGCATTCTATCTGTGTGTGAAACACTGAATGAATGTCATCCTTCCCCTACTCTAAAACAGGACTCACAATCAAATACTAAACAGTGCTGTTCAAGGTAGGTGTTTCCAATAAAGCAGTCAGGAAGTGTGATAATGACATAAAATGATAAACTAATGCAAGAAAACCTTTGATAAGTTGCTCGTCTATGTATCCCAGAACATCAGCCACTCCAAGCTCCTGTCTGGGACAGGTTCCTCCATGCACCCGTAACCATGCTGGCTCAGCCAGGGCTGTACACAGGGCGGTGATGGACAGTGCACCGGGCAGTGCAGACGCCAGACTCCGCTCGGGCTGTTTGGGCAGAGCCGTTCCTCCTCTCCTTCTGCGGGCTCCAGGAAGAGCAGGTCCCGGCGGGGCGTACATTATTCAGTACTTAGATGTCACAACCTAAGAGCTCCGACTCAAAAGTAACAGATGTTGTCGAGAAGAAAATACTGCGGAAACAAACTGTTGAAAGTCAGTAGGAGGTTCTGTATGGAAAAGTAATGAGATCATCATCGACATGACATTACAGGACCTCAGTTATGTGGACACCAGCAGCAGCAACCCACATTCGTGGCTGTAATGACTATAGTGTTAATCACTACAGCCATGAATTAAGGGTTGCTGCTGTTTAGTAAAACCCTTAAAGCCATTCCCATGAGTGGTTTTGGATGTTTCACTTTATTTTTAAAAATGTGACACTTAGAATTTAAGTGTAGAGCACTGGGCTAAACGATTTGGGCAAAATATCTAATTATTCTGACCAGTATTGTGATTTAAATTGCAATTGTTTTCTATAAAGGTCCATGCCTTTTTTTGCCAAGCCCACCAGCGTTTCCACTTTTTGGCCGAATTGGCATTATTTGAGAAGCGATCGGAATCAGATCGATTAAAAACGTGTATTTTTTAATAAACAACGAATACCTAAAGCCGAGGACCCCACTGTTAACCCGTTAGTAGTGCCAACAAATACCTGGCATAAAGGTCTACGGCGGCTAAATCTGTTACCGTTCAGTGTTTAAGTGTAAGTAACAGGAGCCGCGCGGTTAGATATGATTTCAATGCGAAAACGGCAGATCGGCTCAATCGATAAAAACCGTTTTGTGGTCAAAGTGGAATCACCCTGCCCTCCTTTAAACACCAAACTTACCTGTAGGGTACAGGTATATTCTTCCTAGTGAGAAGCAGACAAGGCCATGGGTAGAAGAGGTCGAGCTTGTTTGCGGCTAAAGCTGAATCGCTCGAACAGAAACGAACAGAGAGCTTTAACTGAACTACCGACACAGGAGCGACACAAAGAACCGAAAGCGCTTCTCACGTCAAACAAAACGCCTTATTACTCGGGAGATTAACTGCTGTACGGTGCCTCCTTTCACAATAGTCCACCTCCAACACAGGATTTTCGCTAAAACAGCCACATTCTCGTATTTTTAATCAAATCCTAAATAAAAACAAAGGGCTCGGCTGCTAGCCGCTGTCGAGCTACTTCTCTCTGTTCCCTTCTACAGACTTCCGGTTCCTGTACTGTGACGTTTTGAGAAAAATACTGCTCGTCAGTTTTTTTTTCTTTTTTTTTAGATATATTTGCTTGTTTTGTAATAGGTTATACAGTGTAGATCGAAATGCTATAACTTAGACACTAGAATGTTTTATAAATGATGACAAGACGTTTTATAAATACTTTGTAAAAAACAAATACGTATTTAATGACAAACAATAATATTTATTTGTTTGTTTGTTTGTATTGGTTAATTGTTTGTCTAGGGATTCGATCTCCACTTTTTAAATACAGGACATTATCGATGTTAATTTTATAATAACTTCATTCTCGGTCATGAGCTTTCAGCCATTGCAGAATCGTCTACAGCTCATTCTGGACACGTCAAAGTATTTTTATAGCTTTCTACAAATAAGTTAAAATCTGTTGTTTTAGAGTAACATCATTATACAATCATATCATACATTTGCAACATTTTTGTTTTACTAAAATTTTTCAAATTTGATTACAGACTTTTAAACGCTGGTCTATGTACACATGGAAACGTCTTCAAGCGTTTAATTCACAGTCTCAGCCCACAACTGTGGGAAAACAAACTGTCAGAAAACAAAGGCGTGATAAGTTCAGTTAAAGGCAGTAAGAGGAGCCGTTTATGTGTGTATTTATTAGCTTTTTCGTTTAATTTTCTCTGGCATTCTGATGTAAGGTATAGAGGAATGCAGTGAAAGCTGTGTGGAGAGGAGAGGAGAGGAGAGGAGAGGAGAGGAGAGAGAGCTGTCAGGGTTGACGGGATGTGAGGTTCACTGTGTCCTGCGGGGGGCGCCGTCTCCTTAAATGAGTTTAGACGAGCGGCAGTGAAGAAAAGCAGGAAGGAAGGCGACGGCATCTGATAAAACAACTGTCATTTAAAGTATCGACAGTTCTGCTTCGTGTTTGGGCTGTTAAGGTCCAGAATCTGGTAGAAATGAAGGACACTTTAGAGTTAGTGCAGAGGCTGAGCGCTCACCCGGACTCGCGCTGCTGGTACGTAGCGTGGAGCCCGAAGGGTTCACTGCTGGCGTCCTGCGGAGGAGACCGAGCGGTCAGGATCTGGGGGAGAGAAGGTAAAGACCTCCGCTGATAGACCCCCCACACACTGTAACTAACGGCTGGCACACACTGCCAGGGTTGGACAAAATACTTTGAAAAATTAGTGAAGGCTCAATACTGAATACACTGTCCTGAGTGTAGTTAGTAACGTATTCTGTTACATTAATTAGCAGCTTGTTCAGAATACAGTCAGAATATGTCTTAAGTCACACGGGACAGTCTTTTTTAAACGTTAGTTACTTAATTCACACTGTTCCCCACTGTCAATAGTTGGCAGTTTTCTTCATGTAACAGTTCTGTTGATACGTTTCCTTTTTTCTCTCTCACCGCCTGCCTCAGTCCACTGCTGCTCCCACAATCCCTCGAGCAGGAGTCCAGTACAACATTGATGCTAAGCTTATCACTTGCAGTGTCCAATACTGAGGAGATTATTAGTTTGATTATCCCTCAAAAGAGCTTCAGTGTTTGTAGATTGAGGTCCTCTTTAGAATTGGCCTAACAAGCATGTTTGCTGCACGTCATAGTTAAACATGCGTTGATGGTTTTTCTTTTGAATAGTATGTTTGTTTTGTTGTCCCAGAAAGGTATAATCTTGGTGAAACTAGACTATCATAATCAAGCCGGTTTCCAAGAAATTTGACACAGGGCTAGTTTATATTCCCTTATCCTCATTCTATAATGTTGTGTTTTGGGTCAGCACCTGGACTGCTTTACTGTTCTTCACACCTCTCACTTAGAAGCCCCACTCCAGTAATGTGGTACTGTTTTAATTAGTGAAGTCTTTATTTAACTAGGTTATCACTGAGATTTCCAAGTGAGCCCTGGTCAAGAACAAACTCCTGCTCAGTTACTTGAGGAGGTTACCCCTTTTGTTTTCTACGTTTACTTCTGCACAAGTTGTGATCTCATTTAAAGTAATAACTAATTTATTGGAGGTGTGCATTATGATACTCCTGTACTGACACAAAAACAGAACCTATCACCGCAGAATGGTTTTAGATGTGCAGGCTAGTTAATATTATGTATACTATAAATTGTATTTTATGTTAAGTATAATTAATATTATTTTTAATGCACTGTTCACATAGGAGATAATTGGGAGTGTAAGTGTGTGCTGTCAGATGGACACCAGCGGACTGTCCGAAAGGTTGCCTGGTCGCCCTGTGGCAATTACCTTGCATCGGCCAGCTTTGATGCCACTACATGCATCTGGAAGAAGAAGAATGATGATTTTGAGGTAAAAATACATCTACACAGATGACAAAAAGAAACAAAAACCTGAATAAATAAGTGGTGAAGTATAATGAGTGCAGATGCTTCCAGAGTAGCATACTGCATAATACCATTAAGCAGGTCAAATCACAGCATGCTCTGTGGCGTGTTTAAAAATGCTTAGCAGGCCCAGCTGACCGCAGTTTTTGATCAAGATGGCGAGAGCAGAAGATCTAAGTGACTAACAAAGCGGATTTATTACTGGGGTGTGGATGGCAGGAACTTCAGTTATAAAGGGTGCTCAACTGGCTAGTGTTTCAATAGGAAAGCAACTAAAGTCACATCAACATTTAGATCTGTGGAAAGACATCAGTAAATATATTGTATTTTATGGTTGAAAGCACACATTCAATGAGTGAAATGCTAATGCATCAGTGCAATATGTAAGGAAAACTCAAGAGCAGCTGTCCACAGGTAACTGAGAATGTCAGTACATGACATGATCAGACTGTCAGCAAGAATAGTCTATTGACAGCTGCATAAAGAGGGATATTATAGTAGGGTTACAGTCCATAAACCCTTCATTACAAAGATGAATGCACATTTGGGAGTTTAGTGCTGTTAAAACCATAGACGCTGGCCTACAGAGATGAGGAAAAAAGTGATATGTCAAATGAAAGTGTGCAAGAGCACGTGTGACATAAAACAGGACAACAGTACAGGCCTGGGCTCTTGACCCCTACAGTTAGGCGGTCTGGTGGCTTTTAATTTGTCTGTTTATAAATAATAGGTATACAGGACCTCCTTTTTTTTAGATAGTCACACAACGTTATGCAGTATTAGATCTTTAAGTTTGAACTGTCTTCTAATGCAGTAAGACCACACCTTTTGTTTCTCTGTTTTCAGTGCCTTACAGTGTTGGAAGGACATGAGAATGAAGTGAAGTGTGTAGCCTGGGCACCATCTGGTAATTTGCTGGCCACCTGCAGCAGAGACAAGAGTGTGTGGATATGGGAAGGTTTGTGTAGTCAGAGTTAATTTTGCGTACATTGTAGTTCATGTAACCACGTTTCTCAGTATAGTTCTCTGAGAGCAGAAATACATAGTCCAGCATGCAAGCAGATGTCCTCATTTGCATCCCGGGGCTTCCGTGCTATCAGTACACAAAATCTGATACCTCTTTTACTAATTGTCTTTTGCTCTGTTTAGTTGATGAGGAGGATGAGTATGAATGTGTGAGTGTGGTAAATTCACACACACAGGATGTGAAGCATGTAGTTTGGCATCCCACACAAGAGGTAAGACCTGTAAGACCTTCATGTTTTTTTTTCTCCATAGTCTTTTTTACCTCTTATTACCTGTATGTCTACAGCAGTCAATTTTAACACTGTTGAACTTAACTCAAAAGAAGATAGTGGGTTTGTGGACACAAAACTGCCAATTTTAGAGGATGAAACCGAGTTATATCTTATAGCTTATTACACATTATGGACAAAGTAATAGTATTGTGATTGTAATAGTATGTGCTGCACTTGCAATGCAACTTGCAGTATATTACAATGCATTTGTGAGTTGCCTTCAACATATGCTTTGAGTATAAGAAGAGACTGTATGACTGAAGGAGGTGAGGGAACTCTGAGAACTTGGGTTAGAGTTAAGGGTACCTTCTGCTTTGAGCTAGAAGGCCAGACTTCCCCGCTCTTTAATGAATTGAGGTATTCACCCCCCCTTCATTGAATAGAGGTAGGGCTGACAAGCCCACTCCCAAATGACACCCTAAGCCCTGTGGTCTTTCTCAAAATCCACAATGTGCAGGCCCTGCATATGATAGTGTCGGCATGCTTAATTGTGGATTGCAGGACCGTGAGTGCAAAATTTGGGACTGGGCTACAGATAGAACTAAGCTACCCTTCATCACAGAAAACAAAAGGTAGAGACAGGAGATTTAAAGGACATTAGATTGGACATAGGACATAGATTAGTCTTCAGGCATGGTCCTTCTTACAAACTTCAGTTATTCCAGAAACCCATTTTGTGGATATAGTGTGACATGGTTAAATATTGGCCAGCATTATTTTGACCAAAACTATTTATTTTCGTTAAACAACATCATAACATGTTACAGGAACTCTTCCGGGATCAATCACACAGTAAAAACATTGATTGGTCAGAGTTCTCATTCACATACTGCGGACTTTTGTGAGATCAGTATTACAAAAGTTAATATCATAATAAGGATTAACAAACATTATATTGTGTAGCCTCAATTATTTCTCCCTTCTCTACAGCTCTTGGCTTCAGCCAGTTATGACAACAAGGTGTGCGTTTATAAAGAAGAGGATGATGACTGGGAGTGCCGGGCAACTTTAGAGGGACACACGTCCACTGTCTGGAGTCTTTCCTTTGACCCAGAGGGACAGAGATTGGCCTCCTGTAGTGATGACCGCACTGTAAAAATATGGAAGGAGTGCATGCCAGGAAATGGTAAATAATAACATACAAGCACCAAAATCATGCAAGAGTTTATTACATGGATTAATTTTAAAAGATTGTGTTTTCCGAATGGAAAGTTTGGGTATTTTGGCTTAAATGTCAGTTAATCTAAAAATGCGGTCATGTTCCAGGTTCTGCTGATGGTGCATGGACATGTGTGTGTACCCTGTCTGGGTTTCACAGCCGTACAGTATATGATGTTGCATGGTGAGTTTTGTTTTCTGTCTTGAAAGATTAAAAGATATAAAGTAGGCCTGTCCCAATTACTCAATTAGTATAATTTTTTTAGATGTTCTTTTTCATATATTCATAGAAAAACATATAATATACAAAGCAGCCTCAAAGCTCTGTTGATGAAAATTTAAACTTGTGTCTAATTCTGTGATTTTCCAAAAATCTCATTCAATCCAAACAGTCAAAAACACATTTTGATTTAATAACAACATTAAAGATCACCCAGTATGTCTTCTCTTGTTTTTGGTTAACATGTCATTGAAATTGAAACATTTCTATTTTAAAATTACTAATTAAATTTGAAATTAAATGAAATGAATTTACTTCTGATTTTTTTTACATAACATATTGTATTGAAATGTTAGGTGATGATAGACAAGTTATATCACGTATTCAAACTTATATATATATATAATTTAACTTATATGTATTTACTGTAATTTCTCTGAATGCTTCATTGTTTTTGTTCAGTGGATTATTCTAGAGTTGTTTTAAAAATATGGTCTGTCAGGCATGATCTTTTATCATTCAGTTAAGTCCATTGTCATTGTTTGGACTTTACCTGATTAATTATCAAGTGTCAGTAGATTACTCAGTTACTATTATATTCAATTATGATAGCTCTAAAGTAAATAACAGACTTAACGCAATACACTATGTATATACCCGTCATGTTTTTTTTATCTTTTAACTGTATACATGTATAGGGATCGTCTGACTGGTGCCCTGGCGACTGCATGTGGAGATGATGGAGTTCGTATTTTTAAGGAAGACACAACTGCCGATCCTGAGCAGCCTGTCTTTTACCTGTCAGCTCACATGCCCAAGGCTCATAGCCAGGACGTTAACTGTGTGGCCTGGCATCCTCAGGAAGCGGGTCTGCTGGCCACCTGCAGTGACAACGGAGAAATTGCCATCTGGAACTACCATACAGATGCTTAACCTGACAAGGGAACATTCTTTGCACTGGACTCAGAAAGCACTGAATTTTACCTTTACAGTCATCATGCGGAAAGAGTTGAAATTCGAAACAGTCATGCTACCTACTGTATATTTCCACTGAAACATAAAAAATAGTCTGTTCATTTTAGTCTTGTTCTCCAGACAAATCAGTACTGACAATTCTCTTTGCAAAATTTCATTTTCCATTGTTTGTTTTTTTTTAAATGTCAAGCATTCTGTCACTCCTGGTCAAATTTAAAGTATACTTGCAATTGAGTGACAGGATGCTTTACATTGTAGAAATTCTTTTTCATGTATTTACAGGAAAAATACAATATCCAAAAAAAAAGAAGATTGAAGCTTTATTCATGAAACCTGAAAACTATGTATAATTCTGTTTTTCTTCAAATAAAAAACAACTTTGAAGACAACGCAGCATGTTGTCTTAGACTTTTAACCTCTTTTTGGGTGGACAATTAATTGAAATTTTTCATTTTTTAAATGAAAGTATTGAAACATGATATAATGGTAATATACAACTTGATATTGTGCTTTCAAACATCTCACCTTTAAACACCATTTCCCTGTTAATGTGTTGCTAGTTGTGTCAATTCAGAAATATTACCGTTTGTTACAAACTATAAACAGTGTTGTTAAATGTTTTCAAAGCACCAATTTCTAAAGGGACCTGTCTCAGTTTTTTTCTAATTATGGCTGCAAAAATGTACTTTTATTTCTATAAGCAAAATAGAGTATATTTATTTGCAGCAGTGAGGATGATTGTTTAGGTTTCATTGTGGTCTTGATAATCAATAGCTATATAATGATGCATGATGTAACACTCATGTAAAACTGGGTTTATGAAGTTCACACTCCTGAGTGACGCCTTTGACATTTGAAGAGGTGAATGCTATGGTGTACTATGCAAAAGTCTACACTTAATTTACCAATTTATCATTTTCAGGCACAATAACCATTAAGTAAAAGTTATTCATTTTTTAGTTTCAGGGAAAAAAAGCAAAAAATATTTAACAGAAAAATACACAGAAGACACAACAACAAAAAAATATATCACATTTAACATTTAGTGTGTCAGTTTCTTATTTTCCTTTGACCTTCCCCCTCTTTATGCAAGTGGATTACCTTATATCTAATCTCCTAAGAAACACCTTCTACTTAACGGCTGTTTTGACTGGAAATGAAATAAAGGGCGGTTTCTGATTTTTGCACAGTACAGTACGTCTTCTTTATATAGTGGGAACAAGTTTCAAACACACAACAGTAAAATATATTGAGACAACTAGAATCTGTCTCATATATGATGTGTGGAATATTCTGCTAAAATAAAATTGTACCATTGAACAATATCAGAAAGCCTTACACAAATTGCACAGATATCTGCTCATTCTCAGATGCAGGTTTGGGCCCACCCTTCCCATCATGAGCACTGAAAGATTTGAAGATAAAATATAAAGTAGGAGAAAATACAAAAAAATGAGTCACGGGGTTATGTTTATTCCTCAAACCTTTCAATTTTGTATATATAAATTAATTAAAAAAGGATGTATGGTTACGGTTGTCTTACATTCTCTCTTTTAAAACACACACAACAGTATAATGATCCTGAGGCAAAAATGTGGATTATGAACAAGTTCCATTTGTTACAGGAAACTGACCATTATTGACCTTTTGAGTTAAAAGGGAGAATACATGAACAGCAGATTGTAGGATGCTTTTATTGTTGGTTTCTGATAAACTTTGTCTGATCAAGGTTTTCTGCCCTTTTTGCGCAAGGACTGTCCTTCTCCAGAGAATGCAATGAAGTTACTGACAGAGTCATCCTGCAAAGAAAAGAATAAAAGAATAAAGACCAAACAAAACAAAAATCAGCAGATTCTTACCACTTGGCAAAGAAGTAGAGGTCGCGGATATATGATGATATTCATCATTATTGTAATACATTACATCACATTATGCTTTTCTAAACATATGGATATCTTCAGTACTTAAAGAACACAGATCAACTTAATGAATATTCATTAGAAAGAGAGCATAATTAGTCCAGCTTAATTGTAATTGAAAAACTAGGCTAAATATTGTGGTACTTATCCTCCACACAGAGGTACAAATTATATATTTTTGTAATGTTTTGAAATAGACACCGTCACCAATTCAAGTCTATAAAAACTATTCTCTGGACAGGTGATTGTGCATATTGAAAGAGGCAATCAAATGAGATGCCAAATGTAAACAAATGTGATTAAATCTACCATTTTACATACCTCTTCTGTTTTGCGAGGCTGTGGTCTGGAGTTTCTGATGAAAGTGATCTTTCCAATCTTGAAGTCATAGTTAGGAATACCACTGTGTAAAAGTTGACAAAATAAATGCTTAATGACAAATGCTCTGAGTCTTGGAAAGACGGCCATTTGAGAGAGGTTGTGTGTACGTCCTCACCGTTTGATGTCATTGGGGTCGATGCGTACAGGACTAGGTTCAATTCCTTTCTTCTTTCCATCAAGACGATTCCCAGAGCCAGTGAATGCCTGTGTAAGATCAGAGAGGACGAATTTTAGCATAACAACAAAATCTTTAACACCACAGCTTGAAAGAAATTACAAAAGGAAATAGCTGATTTTGTAAAAGCATTGACAGCAGTGAGATGTTCTACTTACTCTAAAGCCAATGTCCATCTCATAATTACTGGGGTCTGTCTCTTCCTCCTTGAACAGATAAACGGACATTTAATTCAGGTTAATCCATTATCAACAAAATAATCTAATTTTATAGTATTTTCAGCATAACATTAAAACTGAAAACGCACTGCTGGTTCCTCATTGTGCTGTGTGGGCCTCTCTGGCTCTTTGTAACCAAGTGGAGCATCAAAATCCACCTTGGAGAGAAACCAAAATGCAATAGAATTAGAGGAAAGATGTAACTGTGTAACATGACCTGGGTAACAATTTGTCAAACATGTTTCTGATTGTAAAGTAAAGGTGCAAATACAACACGCTTACGTTCATATCACATTCGATAATGGACACTGCCTTGTCAGGTTTGGTCTCCATGACACGTAGCTCATAGATCTGAAATGCAATTTTAGGTTTAGTTCACTTGTTTATTTTGTTGCTTACAAGCAAAAACTTTGGATGGAGTGGCTCCTGCATACACTCACCTTTTCATTATAGTTGATGGCAATGACATCACCTGTAGTCAAACAGGCAAAATTTCTCAAAGCATTTTCTAATCTATAGAGAAAAAAAAATACCATCTGAGTACATTTGGCTGAAATGTTTGGGTAGTAATCCAACACAGTTCATTTCCTTTACCAATGGGGTGATCATGAGTGCTATGAACTACACTGCATTACTTACACAGCTTTGGGGTTTGTGATGTCTAAAAAGTCTGGACTCTGAGGCTGGAATTTGGAGTATGTTGCCACCATGAGATTGACACTCTCAACCTGGACCAAACCTCCTTCTTCCAATAACAGGTTCTGCATCATCTGTAGGAGAAAAAAACATACAAAATATGATCTATAAACAATCACAAAAAACTCATTTACCAGAAAACACAAATCAATTACCATAACAAACCTTATAGGATTTTATGTGTTTAGAATGTCAGCAATAACAGCTGATCATTTCAGTTTCTCACCCAGTGGGGAAGGTAACAGATCCCCTCATCAGCAACAAACTCCAAAACGCCACAGTGGGTCATTCTGTCAGAGTTCTTATTGGTCAGTTTGAACAACATTGGGTATGTGATGTTAAGTCTGCCTGTTTCCGGGTAAGAGAAGGACCACAGATTCAGTCAATGCATTACATACAATTACGGTACACAGTTAGGAGTGGTAACTAATGTACTTACTTAGCTGGTCCAGTGCAGATGGGGGCATTATAACTGGAAAAAGAAAGTGAAAATTATACAATTGATGGCCACTTTATAGAAATGCCTTCCTTGTAGGTATACATTGCAGGTGTACAGATAAAAAAATTTATCCCATTTGTTGCCACAGGCAATTTGTGTTAGTCATCCATTAAACCTTAATTTCTGACCACAGACCTGCTTTTGCCTTGATATACGAGTGGTATACCACTCTAATCCACTCTTAATAAAGATGGCTCTTCATGGGTTATTTAGTGAAGACAATGGTTCTATACAGAACCATGAACACTCAAAGAACCAATTACCTCTGCATAATTAAAATGGTTCTTCAGATTGATAGAAAATGTGTTGTATATGGTTCTATATAGCAAAAAGTATTCTTCTATATGTAGAACCACTGCATTTACTAAAGAATCCTCGAAGAATCATCTTTTTAAAAGTGTATAGCAGTCACACTGACATGTGTAAAGACCCCAATAATAATTTTACAGTGGAGCCGGTGAAGGGAAGCACACGGTGCTTCTAATGAAAGGTGATTCTAATGTCAGCGCCCACGTACTATAACATCTATCCAAACCCTATAATGATAGTAGTACTGAGGAATAACATCTTGTCAATATAAAAACGATTACAAAGACTACTAAGATTACTTTTTCCTCCTTTCTCCACGTCTGAGCGGTCGTTGGGTCCCGCCAGCATCGACACCGAATAGCAGCGGTACTGCGTGGAGAAGCGGTTCTGGAAGGCCCGAGGCATCGGGTGATCAAACATGTTGAAGGAAAACTGAAAAAGCGAGATAACATAGGATTAAATACAGTATTGCGAGTTCGGGCCTTGCTGACTACATTCAGCCGGCTCATGTTACGTAGCAAAAACCACAGCAAAGCTTCCAGCCTAACACTAAAAATAAAAGCACCGTACACCATGTCTGATGAAAACAAACAAAACTACACTCTTAACAGCCACACAAAACTGTTAACAACAACAAAAGGGCTGACAGTGACAGTGCAGGTTTCCACTGCAGTTTAATCGCTAGCTTAGCTTAGGTTCGCTAGATTGTTTCCATGCGAAACTTACATTTTAACGCAGCATTATACCATAAATATTACAAAAGTAGTCAAGCCCTGAATACTCACCATGTTGTCTGCTTATTTCCAACTGTTCTCAGAAACACTGAAGACAGCAGGTCACCACAGAAAAACAGTTTCCACAGTTCCCCGTCACAGGGAAACGCACAATGAAGAGGATGTGACGCCTCTCCACAACAAAACGCCTCGGACCAATCAGAACAGCCTAACGTCAGTGATCAGCCAATCAAATTACTGAAAACTCTTCCCAAAACATTGGGAAATAATTCTGATTGCATTAAGCAAATAAAAAATCTAGAATTATTTTAGATTTATTTCAGTGACGCTACATGTGACATGAAATTAGACTTTACAATTAAAAACGCCACTTTGAACCGTCAAACAAAGAGGGCTGTGATTGGTTGAGCTTTTCGGAGAGGCCCGCCTCTTAAACGACAGTAACCCCCGCGGATGTTTGTAGGAGCTTTTACTTAGAGAATGAATCTGATTGGCTAGAAGACTGACTCCGCTCGACAGCCATTGGTTCGAGTTTGACAAACTGTCATAGCCATCGTCTGATTGGACATTGCGGCGAAATCCCGCCTCCTTTTCTACGAACGAATTTGGCGCCAGAGTTTCAGCACGGAAAGTGGAGAGAGTTAAACAAGGCGGACTGAGAAAGCCGCACTTCGAGTGAACTGATTTTTGTGTGTTTTTGGCGTTTTAAGATGTTTGTGACAGACATTCGAAAAGAGTTTTATGATGTTGTCGTTAACCAGGTGAGGTGCTGCTCAGTTTATCGGTTCGCAATAAACAGTGTAGCTAATACAGTTTGTTCGTTGCTGAATGGGTGGCTAACTGGCTAACTAATGTTAGCTGGTCGATTAGCTCATTAACATTAGTTACCTAACCTGCGTAATTGTCTGTTGTCTGAAGGAATTGACAGGGGAGTAAACTTTCAAACTTATAAGCTAATTTCAAATATTTAATGTTGTCTCTTCTTCAAGCGAGTGGCTCTTCTGGTGTCCTCGGACATTGACGCGCTGTGTGCGTGTAAAATACTGCAGGTTAGTAACCTAACTGTGTTTTTGGTCGGATATAACTTAACCTAGCTGGGTAAAGTTAGCTAACCTAGCTAGCGTGTGAAGCTGGAGTGAAGGTATTTAGTTGTACGGTGTCCTTTTTTCGCAGGCTTTGTTCCACTGTGATCAAGTCCAGTATACCCTGGTTCCTGTGACAGGCTGGCAGGACCTTGGCACTGCCTTTTTGGAACATAAGGAACAGGTATGTTCGGAGTTTCCAGCCTTTAGTTTGCCGTACTCGCGAGAATAGCTAAGAACTGGAAAATACAATGAAAAAATCTACTTCAAAGGTTCAGAAATGATAATCGTATAGACTGACTTCTGAGGTGCGATATAGCGCCTTCCTAGAGGAGCAGGGCTCAGTTGTTGTTTTTATTAACAAAAATAATATGGTTGTTTTATCTCTTTTCCATTACAGTACCAGTACTTTGTCCTAATTAATTGTGGGGTGAATGTGGACCTTCTGGAGACTCTCCAGCCTGAAGAGGACTCCATCTTCTTTATCTGTGATACCCACAGGCCTGTTGATGTTGTCAATGTTTACAATGACACTCAGGTACACCTACATACAGTCACCTAGTTACTGAAGAGGACTTATTACCATTGTACCTATTATGAACTATTGCCTTTCTAAGTCTGTTTTGTTTAGGCATTTATGAGTTTATACAAAGCAGATTAGGAAGACAAAATAAGAACCTATTCTACAGTATTGAGTTTTGCTGCTAAAAATTAATTTCTCTCTTCAGATTAAGCTGCTGATTAAACAAGACGACGATCTAGGTGTCCCTTCCTATGATGACATTTTCCGTGACGATGAAGATGAGGATGAAGACGGTGATGGAGGGGATTCTGGAAATGAAAGTGATGGCGGCTCAGAGCCGTCTGGGAAACGGCGGCGATTTGACGAGGCAGGTTTTCCTTTTCTGGTTCCTGTGTCTGAAGAAATTTGTTAATTGTAACCCATTGACTCGTACTGTTAGCAGTTAGGTGAGTAAAAGGGGAGACAGGGCTGCTGGGTTTGTGTACAGTAGTGTCTGTAGTGTGTAGCTGTGTGTGTCAGTTTGCTTGAGAATATTGCTAAAATAGACACTGGAAATGAGTATTGTAAAAAATTAAGAGTCTAAACACTACATTTGACATCTGTCTCTTTTAGGGTGCACTGGAGAGGAGAATCGAAAGACAGCGAGCTAAGAGAGAGTGGGAGGCGCGCAGGTCAGTCATACTGGAATGGTTGGCGGAATGCCATTTTTAGTATTGTTCACGTAGTGCATATAGCATGCTTATATCACCATGCTTATCACATCTAAAAGGCGCATGTATTTACAGGAGGGAGATCCTGTTTGACTATGAGCAGTATGAGTACCATGGCACATCGGTGAGTATCTGAGTCTTTGAATCTGTGGTGACTGATTTCCTTTAGACTGTTAAGTGACTGCTGTTTAAGTGTAGTGCCTTTTATTAACTGTTTTGTTTTGTATAGGCTGCAATGGTTATGTTTGAGCTTGCTTGGGTTATGACCAAGGATACCAAAGATATGCTTTGGTAGGTTTTTTGAACTAGTAAGGAGTGTACATACATATCTACATGCTAGAAATGGAAAATTGACTTCTGTGTGTTTGACAGGTGGAGCATCATTGGTCTAACTGATCAGCGGGTTCATGACAAAATCACACAGTAAGGATCTTCCTTTTGAACCTTATCAATGACTTTTTGTGATGTTATTTGTAAAGTTCAAAACTAAAAACTTTTTCTGTCTACCAGTATGAAGTATGTAACAGACATAGCTGCCCTGCAGAGGCATGTCTCTCGTCATAACCATCGTAATGAAGATGAGGAGAACTCGCTGTCTATTGACTGCATGAGGATCTCCTTTGAATATGAGTATCCTGCTCTGCCTTGTGTTGTGGAGTGCTGTAATGAATCTGTGAATATTAGGATCTGGCCAATACCAGCAGAAAATGCTTGATCGGATATCAGAGGAAAAAAGAACAAGTCAGATCCGATTTGTTAATAAATCTAGCCTGAATTTTCACAGAATTGCTTGTAGCACTGTGCTTGCTTGTAGTACAAGTGAAGTACACGTGGGATTACAATTCCTATATTTTGAATAGTATATTGAAGTATATTGCATACGCACAAAATAGTCTGGTTTTGTTGTTGGCTATACATTTCTTCCAGTAAGCTACTAGTGTTTTGAACAGTTTGAGCATGATACTTGTCACCTTAAGTGCTACAGCTAAACAGCTAATTTTAAAGCTTATTTTTTTTATTGGCCAATTCTTTTTCTGTATCTGTTTTGGAAACTAAACAGTGGAATCACTTTTTTATAGTCATGCACATATGAGTTAAGTCCCTTGATTATGTGCGTCAGCTTGCGACTGGCTTTGTACCAGCACTGGTCACTGTATGAGAGCATCTGTAATTCCTGCTACACCTCCTGCAGTTTTAAACTGTGGTCTATCAATGGCCAGAAGAAACTGCAGGAGTTCTTGGCAGATATGGGGTAAGTGCACGTTTTCCATCATCCTTTCATGCATAATTATTGTTTGTTAGTGTCTTAGTGTTGTACAATAAAGGTCTGTTTTCAGTTCTTGTGATAGTATCAAGTGTTTATTTTGTTTATTTGAAACATCTTATAGGCATAATCCCACCATGTTATAATATGCTGACATATATTGGGTGTTAGTACTGAAACTGGTGCTGAGCAGGCTGAGATGTTATGCTACTGTTCGTAATGTTGCATGAAGTCCCTTTTAAAGCAGTCAGTTAATGGCCTCGTGCTGTTAGTCTCCCACTTAAACAGGTGCGACAGAAGTTTAACTCCATGGACATATCAATCAAGGAAAACCTGCGTGAGGTCATTGAGGAGTCCGCCAATAAGTTTGGGTGAGAGCAGAGAAGGTGCATTTGAAGATGCACTGTGAAGTAAATGTTAAAAACTGCTTCAGATCCACCAAGCTAAGAAGTCTGTCTTAGGCATTTTTGCTCAAGTTGAATATTTTGTGTCTGTGTTCCAGAATGAAAGACATCCGTGTACAGACATTTAGTGTGCACTTCGGCTTCAAGAACCGTTTCTTAGCCAGTGACGTGGTGCATGCTGCTGCGGCCCTGCTGGAGAACGTGGAGAAGGACGAGAGCGCTACAGATAACTTCATTAAAGCGCTAGACTGCCTCTCAAGGTAGAAATAAATGTCCATAGCTTTTTGTTTAGATTTTAGATTTTTTTTATTTTTTTTTGTCTTAGCAATATATGCGTAGGAGTAACATAGAGAGGCTGCATTTGGGGATTGATCTGGCTAAGAAAAAACTCAAGGCCATTCAGCAGACAGTTGCCAGCTGTATTTGTACAAATCTCATTCTCTCACAAGGACCTTTCCTTTACTGCCATTTACTGGAGGTAAGGATACACTTTTCCAGTTTGTTTCTCAGTATCTCTCTTTCCTACATAATAAAGAAAAGGTTCAGCTTGGATGCATAATGTCTGTTTCCTGCTACTGTTCCTATTGATTTGTATGACCTACAGCCCTGTAACTGTTATAGTGCTACTGTAGTATGATAAACAATATTATAATTCTACTATATTTTGGATTCAATTTTAGGGAACTCCAGATGTGAAGCTATTCTCCAAGCCTTTGGCCCTGACTCTGCTCTGCAAATACCTGCTCAAAGCCTTTGTCTGTTCTGTAAGCAATGCAGAATATACACAATTAATTAATTTAATTTTTTTGCATAGGTGCACCATGGGACTGGGCAACACGACTATTTATTGTTATCGTTTTAAATTTCATCTCAATATGTCACAGTAAGCTTATTGCGAATATTGCGTAATGATACTTAAACGCTTCCCACCTGCATGTTTGATTACAAAGAGAGAATATATAGAGTTATGTAATTGGGTGTAGTGCAGCACAGTATGTGACTTGTTAAATACAAATTATTGGATTCCTATTTTTTTAAAGCAGCGCTACTTTGTCTGTTCCAACTTAGCAGATGTTAGCAGAAATATTGTGAGAAATCGCATACCATGAAAACTTCTTGAAGTGTTGTAAAATTACATTTTTGCCATATCACTTAGCTCTAGTGCATCAGTTCTTGCCTTTTTGTAGTTTTAAAGAATAAATAACATAAAGGAATAATTTTAATGAGAGGTGATGACATATATGATAACACAGTTAATTGTTGATCTCAGATGTTATTAGTTGCTGATTGTTAATATTAATATTAAGTGAATCATGTAACAACTGTGTGAATGTCACAGTTTTTGGTTATTCTAAAGTATGACATCAAAAAAGCCTTTAAACGTGTGTCTGTGTGTGTGTTAGACGCGGAATAAGCGCTGCAAGGTGTTGCCACTTATTATGGCTGCCCCCATGGATGTAGAAAAGGGCACTGTGATTGTCTTGGGCATTCCACCAGAATCTGAGACCTCTGACAAGAAAAAGTAAGTGTGAATGAGTGAGTGAAAAAGAGAGATGAATAGTTGAGTGTACATGTCATTAGGAAGTGTTTCTTTCCCTTCTTTTCCCAGCTTCTTTGGCAGGGCATTTGAGAAGGCTGCTGAAAGTACAAGCTCCAGGACACTGCATGATCACTTCGACACATCAAGTAAGTAACTGACACAAAGAAAAATGCAGTAAGCACAACTTCAGTGGCTTTTTCTGAAGGTTCAAATGCAAACCACCAGGTGGCAGACATGCTTCTCTCAAAGAATGTTATTTTGGCACGGAGGGTAGAGCTATGCACCTGCACGCACCCTCAGCAGGGAACTTTACCAACTTGGCTTAGCCTGACAGCTTGGATTAAACGGTAGTAGTAAACAGACCTGCAGAAGTTCTGTCCTAATCTAAAGTACAGCTCCAAGATGCCTTTTAAAAATTATGTGCCCATTTTCCAGTCTTGGGAAAGAGTCTGAATCTTTCTTCCTTTTCCCAGTAGATGTGGTAAACGGAGAACACAGTGACTAAGTGACTTTCTGTATAATTAGCCTTGGTTAGATAAAAAATGCATTTTGTAAGTTAAACAAACAGGACATCAACTGAATTAACTACGCATACACATTTTAACTCCATTTGGAGATATAATTTATAATGTAGATTTTCATGCTGGCAAAAGAGTGCTGGTGTACATGCAAATGAAGCAACAAAAAAACTCCAGCACGTGAGATCTGCTCATTGGTACAGGGTAAAATGGGTAGGTGTGTCCAGAAGAAGGATGCCAACATGCCAGTTGTGCAATGTATTGGTTTTCAAACAAACATAGAGACCCTCTAGATTTTAAGTGTTACATGATATCTGTGCAGAATATGGTTATAAATTATTATATAACAGTAGTGAGAAACTGCCTGAATATTTATAATATTACTGCTAGGCAAAATGCAGCTATAGAGTAAGGCTCTGTAATGCCTACATAACATGATTTCATTCAGCACAATAATTCTGCAGATAATAATTTTTCCAAATTTACATTCTTTGCCAAGCTTGCATATGAGGTGTTTTTATGTTGGTACGAGTTTTGGGTGTGAGAGAGAGGTTTTAACAGGTAGCAGTCAGTCACAACTATACTGACCCACTGGCCTCCCAGATAACCCATCATACTGACACATGAACTGACCAAAACATAAGTCAAATGGACATGTACGAGCACAGACGCTGGTACAGTTCTCACGTTTTTAGTCAGTTTGGTGCTAAATACCATTCCTTAACCTACAAGTCCAGCTCTAAAAATCCAGACACGCAACCACAGACACACATGCACACTTATTGCAGCATTATTGTTCTTGTGCAACTCAAGTGTGAAAGTATTACTTTACAAAATATTCATGCTTTTTTTTTTTCTTTTCTTAGTTATCGAGCTAAAGATGGAGGACAGAGGAAAGTTTCTTGATGCGCTCATCACCCTCCTGTCATAAGGCCTCACTGCATGCTGGAAGCTCTCCTCAAACATCACACATCAGAATGCCAGGAAGTCAGGATATACTGTATGTATGTTGGAGTAGAAATTCCCACATCTCGCCCAGTCTGAGGACCCTGAGGAAAGCTCATAAACACACACTCAACTGCTGCATGAATGGAATTTTACACGCCTCAAGAGCAACTGTGAGATTTGCCATGTTCCCAGTCAGTTTGGTGCCAAATTCATTTCAGAGCTTCGGCATGTGTGCAGTGAGAGCTGCCCTCCTGAAGACCTCAGCCACTGGCTGGGTACCCATTACTGCTCTGCAGGTGTTTTGGTCATGTGGTGGCAGTCACGCAGGCCATGCATGTGTATTATACTGTACAGACATTTGATTGTGTTGTAGCGTTAATGGTTTGGTGTTTTTATATGTGTGACTATCATGTACTGAATAATAAATGCAATTTTATTAACTTAAAAGGATCTTTTTGTGAATTTCAAATGATTATTTTTTAGGACACTTAGGAATAGGCATCACATCTCTGTTTTCTGTGATTCAGATTTGCTCTTGAACGAGATGTCCTCTCATTCAGGTATGAAATGCGTTGTTTATCTTCTGAGGGGTGGGGGAGTGGGGGCAAATACAGCTCATGAATAAACTGAAACTGCTCTACTTGATGCACCATGCCCGCTTACAAATACTCAGTGGTGGAGGGGGGGCATGCTTAATGTAAGTGGACTGAATGTAGAAGGGTTTTTTTTTTTGTTTTTTTTTGTTTTTTTCCCCCCCATTTTGTCAAAAGTTTGGGTGCCCCTGGTCAAATGATATTTTGTTGATTTAAGTGAAAATAAGTTGACGCATCCTCACAGAGAACACACTAATGTGCATTTTAATTCTAAACAATGACTATTCACTTGCTGAATTTAACATATTGGGGGGGTATCATACAGTGTGGCTTGTGCACAAGTTTATTTTATATTACATTTTTTCCCCAAAATGTTAAACTCTTCTTAAATTTCTGCTCTGATTATGATGTGAACTGCTGGGAAATGTTAGACTATAATACAAACAACTTCTGCAAAACATGAGAGGGCCCCCAAGTTAACCTCTCATCTAGCTTGAGCCAAACCTTGAATGCGAGGCCAAAACGTCTGACTCAAGATAAAGGCTAAATAATTTATACTGTTAAAATAGTTGAAACCTTTTTTTTTTATGGACGTTTTGAGAGTGTTATTAATGTTTGAGCCAGCTTGTGTCTACTCCCCTTCCTCCTGAATGCATTTTTGACAATCATGTTCGAATGCAATACGTTGACTTAGACTTGAGCTCGACTTTTTTTTTTAACTTAACAACATAGAAATGTAGCGTCAAATTAGCTTTATATACACACTGAGGAAAACGGCTGCCCCCACCCTACTAATGACTGGGTGGAGGTGTTTATGTTGTAGGTTATTATCGTGGAACGAGCCAAATAACCGTTTATCCTTTCTCCACGGGTGGTAAGAGCTCCCATCGCTCACCCGTTCCTCTTGCTGTCTCTCTGTCTCTCTTGCTCTCGCACACTTTCTCACATTCTCTCTTTTTGGCACACGTTGAAAAGAACTATGCAGTCTTTAAACATCATGATGTAGTCAGAAGATGTACTGAGAAAACTGAGCTGTTCATGTAGTTCTTGCAGAGTTGGAGCTGAAAATTACAGCAGTGACAAAATGCCTGTTTATTGAGTGTGTATTAAGATATAAGGCTGGGGAAAATGCCATTGTGATATCCGAGTTGTATGATGGGAGTAATACAATTTACTGCAAGAGTTCTAGTATAAAAGATTACAAGGAGTTAATATGAATTGCATATTACATTCATTGCGGTCCAAACAAAACTGTCTTCAAAGGGTTAATTTCACCGGAGAAGACATGAACATCCTCAACTTTTAATATAAGTTAATGTAAAATTTTCTTCCAAGTGATTTTGGACCATTTCTGTTGGTCCATTCGTCACAAAAGCTTCACGCAATGTAAACGGCATTTGCTGTGCGCAAATGATGTAGAGAAGTAACAATTTATAAAAAATGGATACAATACATTAGATGTGACAGCAGTGATCACAGATGGGTAGTAACTGGTTACATTTATGCAAGTACATATACTTAAGTAAAATATTGATTGATTTGTGAGTATTTCTAATTATAATACGTATCTTCAAGTATATTAGTGAGTATTCTACTTTTTAGTCATTTATATTTATTGATTTAACTTCATCTTCATTATATTTCGTTGATGAAAACGTCTGTACTGTTTTGTGTCATCTCCGATTTTGGAGCTTTAGCATTTTCTTTTAGACCAAAAAAATCATAAAATGAGAAGAATAGAGCCTAAAATATCTTCAGTTTCTATGCTGATGGATGCTTTAAGTTCTACTGCAGTTCTAGAAGTTAGTAGGTAAGTAGTTTTTTGGCCCAGTACATTTGTACTTCTACTCAAGTTTTTGGAAGGAACTTTTACTTGAGTCATTATATTACCCAGGTATTAATGCTTTTACTTGAGTAGTGGTTTAAGCCACTCTACCCACTTCTAGCAACAACATGCTCATGTATCGCTTGCTCCTTCTCTAGAATCTGACTTGTACAGAGGTGCACAAACACATCATCCTCCCTTAGCGTGTGTAACAAATGAGTGGGATTCATAAATCTTTTGTTAGCACACCATATTTATTTGAGATGTTCACTGAAAGGATTTTCTTAGATTATGTTCCCTGAAGTGTGGAAGGCTAGATTTATACCTTTCTTTTTTTTTATTTCCTTCACATATTTGAAATCTGTGTGTGGTCTTTTGGTCAAAGTGTAGCCTATGCTACTATGAATCTGACCATATTCACATGATTTTCAGCAAACCACTGCTGTAGTCTAAACTTTTAAAGTTGTTATTATTATATACAGTACTGTGCAAAAGTCAGAGACCGCCCAACATTTAGGTTATTTCCTGTCAAAACGGCCATTCAGTACAAGTTTGAGAACATGGAGATAAAGTGGCTACTTTAAATAAAATGTGCTATAGTAGTAAAACATCTCAGTCTCCTGAGCACTAAGTTCCTATGCTTTGCAAGTCAGAAAAACACCCTTTTATTCGTTTAATTTGGAGTTAAAATAGCCATTAAGTGCAAATTATTCATTTTTCAGCGGAAAGCTTATATTTAACAGAAAATTACACAAAAGCATCAACAACTAAGGCCAAAATCAAATTTATCAGTATTTTGTGTGTCCACTCATTACCTTTGTTACAGCTTCCATTCTTTTATTTTTCTTCCATTCCATTCCTTGCTTTTATGTTTTTTAAGAAATCTGCTGGGATAATTTTACACATCTCCAAAGTTCAGTCTCAGAGGTTGGTTGCATTTTGTGCTTCTTACCATCCAAGAAAACCCAAACATATTCAGTGATGTTGAGGTCTGGACTCTGGGATGGTCAGTCTATTGTTCTGTGAACACCAGCAGTTTCAATTTTTCTTCTTGACAGCTACACATCCTTTCACACCCATAGTGTTGTTTTCTCACAGTGGAAGGAAAGACAGAAACACAGATTTTTTCAGATCTGAAGCAAGAGAGGAGCTTGATCTTCTCTCAAAGATGAAAGCTTTAAGTACTGTTTGACTGATGATGACAGTTTGGCTGGTCTGTCAGGTCTTGTCGTATGGAGTCCCACTCTCTTAATATCTTTTATTAATTTTTTGAACTCCAGTTTTGGAGGCACCTTATATTTCCCTTTCCTTATTTATCTTGTATAATCTCCTTAGATAAATAACTTGTACTTTATAGTTGTTTGGGCTGGAAATTAAATAAATAAAGGGTGATATCTGACTGTGCACAGTACTATGTATAAAGCTGGTGGAGTATATTCTTTTTTTCTTGCACTCTCCTCTCTCTGTCTTTTGTCTTGTGTTGCTGTGTGGCCGACGGCCCTTCACACAGTCCTGCTGCTCCAGAACGAGATTTATTGGCCCAGTCGCCCTGTACACACACAAGGGGATTAGATGTTGAACTATGGAGCCTTCTTTTGTGATGATCCATTCCTTTCAAAGTCTATTTACTTTTGTTTGTATCATTAGTGGTGCTGTGGAGCACTCTTAAAAATAAAGGTGCCAAATAGGGGTCCTCTGGAGCAATGCTATAGAAGAATCACTTTTGGTTTCCTTAAAGAGCTGCTCAATGGATGGTTCTTTAAAGAACCATTTCTATAAATGAGATGTGAGAGTGAAGAGCCTTTTAAAGATTAAATGAACTCCCACAGGGTTTTTCTCAGGGCCGTGCGTCCAGGTCAAGAACCATATAAGAGCTGAACTACTACTAATAATAATTGTTTTAGTGAGGCTGCTTCTTTTTCCGTCTCACTCTCTACTTCGTAGTGTAGCTTTTCTTCAGATTTCAGTCTCACTGGTAACTTGCCTTGCTGTTGTTTTTCTCCCTTTCTTTTCACACAGTCCTTGAGTGGTCTGCTGTCATCTATAGGATTAGCTGGACTGGATGATCAGGGACAATAGAAGTCATCTCTGCGAGGCAGCATCACGCTGGGTTGCCTGTGTGTATAGAGCAGGAACCCTTGACTTGGCCTCATCTGCTCTGTCTAAGTGTAGTGGAAGGAGTGGATTGCGTTCAACTCTTGTGGTTTCGCAAACCGTTAGCCACTTAAGAAATGGCAAGATGTTGTGCTGAAAGAGGAAGTCACTTCTGTACTTCCACAAACGCACTTGAAATGATGAGCTCAGCAATGCTGATTTTTAGCTTCTGATATGTGGTAAACAGCAGTGACTTCTCCCTGCACTGTTTTGTAATAGGCAAGAACTTGCTACATACAGTACATACCATGTACTGCACAGTTCTGGAGAACAACATGCTCATGTATCGCTTGCTCCTTCTCTAGAATCTGACTTGTACAGAGGTGCACAAACACATCATCCTCCCTTAGCGTGTGTAACAAATGAGTCTTGTGTTGCTGTGTGGCCGACGGCCCTTCACACAGTCCTGCTGCTCCAGAACGAGATTTATTGGCCCAGTCGCCCTGTACACACACAAGGGGATTAGATGTTGAACTATGGAGCCTTCTTTTGTGATGATCCATTCCTTTCAAAGTCTATTTACTTTTGTTTGTATCATTAGTGGTGCTGTGGAGCACTCTTAAAAATAAAGGTGCCAAATAGGGGTCCTCTGGAGCAATGCTATAGAAGAATCACTTTTGGTTTCCTTAAAGAGCTGCTCAATGGATGGTTCTTTAAAGAACCATTTCTATAAATGAGATGTGAGAGCGAAGAGCCTTTTAAAAATTAAATGAACTCCCACAGGGTTTTTCTCAGGGCCGTGCGTCCAGGTCAAGAACCATATAAGAGCTGAACTACTACTAATAATAATTGTTTTAGTGAGGCTGCTTCTTTTTCCGTCTCACTCTC